CAAAAGGGCTGGGGATGTGGCCAAAGAGCAAAGTGCCCCCTCCCCCAGATTGCATCCCCAGGGTCTGGGGGCTGTGGAGGGAGGTGACGTTCCAGAATCAATCGTAGCTTCGCCATGGCTGTGTGACTCTGGGCAAATCACTCAGAGTCTCTGTGCCTTGCTTTTCCTCCTCTAAAATAGACACCCAAAAAAACGGTGGCAAGTATCCCCCCCCCCCCGGGCTGCCAGGAGAGAGGAGAGGCAAGCTGAACCAGTTAAAGAGCTCCAAACCCGCTCCTGGCACCCAAGAAGTGCCAAGCGAGTGTCAGTTAATGCGACTATTTTTAAATGGAGCCGGAGACGGCGCCCTTATTACCGCTCTTATTTGAATGAGCAGCTCCTCAGAGACCATCTTGCGCATCCACACCCCGGTGGGGACCAAGGAGGCGCTGTGTGACCTATGGCAAAGTCTTTTCCCTCTCTGATCCCCCCACGTTTTCTGCCTCCTTCTGTGCACCTCTGTCCTGGGCATCCTCAGCAAGCCCCTGGGGTTGGTGGCAATACCAGCTCTAGCCAACACCACGACGCACTGTCCCCTCCTGGCCCTCGCCCAGTGCCTTCTGTACCCTTCTCTAGGGACCCCCAGGTGCACACTTGGGGACCATCGGGATGGATCTGGTCCTTGCCCCCCCTCCCTCCTTTGAATCCAGGAGCTTGTCACAAGTCTGGCTCGTAGTAGATGCTCAACAAACAGGTGCTGTGTTGTATTCTATTTGCTCCCTTTTGAGATGGGGGTTCTGAATCTGTTCCCGGGGCTCACGAGACATCTTAGTACCTTCGCCTCCCGAGTGACTGAGATTCCAGGTGTCCGCCACCAGGCCACCACGCCTGGCTGCATTGATCTGATTGAGCATGCCCTTTTTATAGCATGTCGTAACCATATGCTCCGCACAGCTCAGTGCATTTCTTTTATTTACTTTCATTTGGCAGAGCTGGGGACGGAACCCGGAGCCCTACCCAGCAGCAGCCACATCCCCACAGCCCTTTTTTTTGTTTCTTTCTTTCTTTTTTTTTTTTTTTCTTTCAATTTGGAGACAGGGGTTTTGCCAAGTTGTCGAGGCTGGCCTCCAATTTGCGATCCTCCTGCCTCAGCCTCCTGAATGGTCGGGATTCCAGGAAAGGGGGACCATGGCTGATGTCATGCCCAGCTTCAGGGCATTTAAATACAGCAGCATTCTGATCCCCCCGACACACACACACACACACCCATTTTAATGAAGAAGTAAGAAAGTTGCACAGAAGTGAAGGAATTTGCCTTGGGTCACTCGGTGGGTGAGTAAGAGGACTAGAATCCAAATCTTCTGGTTCTTGGGGGGGGCGGGGATTGGGGTCCATTTTGGGGGCGATTGCTAGATAATGCGCCTCAGGTTCTCAGCATGAATGAGATTCTGGGCGCTTTGGTCCACGCCCGTCATCCCAGTGGCTCGGGAGGCTGAGGCAGGAGGATCACAAGGTGGAGGCCAGCCTCAGCCATTAGAGACCCTGTCTCTCAATAAAATGCAAAATAGGGCTGGGGACAGGGGTCAGGGGTCCAGGGACCCTGGTGGTGTGGGTTCTGATTTCTGCTGTCCCCCCCACCCTCCAAAGCCCGGTGCCCATGGACCCCGGGCAGCCTGGGTCTCAGCCCCACTCGCAGCTGCAGACGGGAACCCCCAGGATGCAGGGCTCCCTCTGGGGGCCCAGCCTGGGCCCTGGGCGCGCAGAGGAACTTGGGAAACCGTGGCCGGATGTGGTCTGCGAGTGGCAAGTCCCCAAAGCTCACTTCCTCCTCCTCTCTCGGTGGAAACAGCAAACAGGGCCCCAGGGCCAGACGGGGCAGGTGACAGTGGGAGACGGAGACCCACGGGCTGCAGGACATTAGCACGTCCACCGTGTGCTCCCTGAAGGGGCAGCTGCCCACCGGCTCCAGGGCCACCCCAGGTCACCACCAGGCCACCTCCACCCCAGCACCCTCCTTGGGAAGCAGCCTGGCAATTTCAGATGAGGTGGTCTGTCTACCCCAGAGGCCACGCACGCCTTCCATCCCAGCGGCTCGGGAGGCCGAGGCAGGAGGATCGCAAGGTGGAGGCCAGCCTCCGCCACTCAGCGAGGCCCTGAGCCACTCAGGGAGACCCTGTCTCTAAATAAAATATTAAAAGGGGCTGGGGACGGGGCTCAGGGGTGAAGCACCCCTGGGTTCCATCCCTGGTGCCCCCCCCCCAAAAAAAGAAAAAATAAATCCCCCTCTGCCTTCCTCAGGGTGGCTCTGAGCGAGACCCTCCTGCCTCAGCCTGTTTGCACCGCGAGACTGCGCAGGCGCGGTGGGCGGGGCCTGCAGCCTCGGGGAGCGCCCAGCTGCCCCCACAGACAGCAAAAGGGGCCAGACCGAGAGCTGGAGGGGAGGGGACCAGCCCCACGCGTCATGACAGTCCCGCCTCTCCTGTCACCTGGAGAAGATCCTCAGTGGCTCCGACCCGGCCTCTCTCTCGGCCTCTCTCTTGGCCTCAGTTTCCTCATCTGCAGCAAAGGACCCCACGTACCCAGGGTGTGACCTGGCTGCACCCTGCCCTGCCCTCCTCCCGGGGGGGAAAAGTGCATTTCACTTCCTAGGGGCGCGGTGGGGGGCTGCTAATTAACAGGCAGATTCGACTCAGCAGGTCACAGGGTGGGACTGAGCTGCTGAATTTCCATATATATATATTTTTTTTAGGGACCAGGGATGGAACTCAGGGGCCCTCAGCCCCGGAGCCAGGTCCCCAGCCCTAGTCTGTATTTTATTGAGAGACAGGGTCTCCCTGAGTGGCTTAGGGCCTCGCTTTGGCTGAGGCTGGCCTCCAACTTGCTATCCTCCTGCCTCAGCCTCCCGAGCTGCTGGGATGACAGCTCTGAGCTTCTGAACCTCTGTCCAGCGCTCCAGGGGTTTCCTGGTGCAGTCCAGTGCTCACACACGGCTGCCCACGGCAGTCACCCGGGAGGCACCGGGCGTGGTGCACACCTGTCATCCCAGCCACTCCGGAGGCTGAGGCAGGAGGATCGCCAGTGGGAGGCCAGCCTCCACCATTTACACAGACCCTGTCTCCAGACCAAAAAATATATAAAAATAAAAAGGGCTGGGGACGTGGCTCCGTGGTCCAGGTGTGGCCCAAGACCACGGCTCCCATCCGCACCCCCTTTTTTGTAAATAAAGCTCTCCAGGTACTCCATGTCCCCTCTGAGCCACAGACCCCTGGCCTCGCGGTGGCTCCGACGTCCCCAGGCGGCCCGGATCCCTTGGCATTCTTGCGGAGGCCTCTCGGTGTCTGCTTTCTTAGTATTTTTTTTCCCTCCCAAACACAACAATTCAAAAAATTCTCAGCTCCCAGACAATCCACAAAGCCAAGAGGCGGGGAGAGGCCGGGGAGAGGCCGGGGAGAGGCTGTTCCCACTTATGGCCTGATCCAAGGCAGGTCTGATTGGGCCCTGGGGACTGGTCATCGGGAGTCTGGGTGGAGTCCCCTCCCCGGCTACCCACTGCTCCCCCATGGCCAGCGTCCCTCAGTCCTTACAGGATCTCAGGCACCTCCACAAGAAAACGGGCTCAGAAAGGGCGACGGATAGTCCCCAGGACGCACAGCCCTGCTGGGAAGGTCCCGGTGTATTTCCCAGCTGGGGGGGCAGAGGTGTGGGCTCTGGTGACCGTAGATTTGCTGTGACCTTAGACCTAGGATCAGCCCCCCCCCCGCCATGAGTCTCAGTTTGTCCCATCTATAAAATGAGGGGTGCCCCCTTGTGATCCCGGCGGAGGCTGAGGCAGGAGGATCGCCAGTTGGAGGCCAGCCTCAGCAATTTAGCGAGGCCCTGACCAACTCCGTGAGGCGCTGTCTCTAAATAAAATACAAAACAGAGCTGGGGCCTAACCACTGAGCCTCCTCCCTGGCCCTTCTTCTTCTTATTTTTTTTTTTTAGGGCCTCCCTCAATTGCCAAGTCTGGCCTCCACTTGTCGATCCTCGTGCCTCAGCCTCCTGAATTGCCGAGAGGATTCTAAGTGTCCCCTGGGTCTTGCTTTGGGGCTGGCCCGTGCATCTGGCCGTGGACTTCACCTGGGGCCTCATTCTTTGAAAATGGGGAAGTGCCTTCTTCTGAGAGGAGAACCTCAGTGAGTGCAACCAGAGGCCACCAGCCCCGAGGCACACCCACGGTGACCCCCTGTGACCCCCCAGCGCCCGGCCTCTCCGTCCCCCACCCTCCAGGAGGGAGGGGAGTCCGGAGACACTGGCTGCAGGGCAATCCCTCCGGTGTCACCCGCAGGACCCATTCATCGGTCACACGGCTGACCTTGAGCCCAGGACCAGGCCACTTCCTCCCAGGGACAGGAGGCCCTGGGCCTGGGAGGTCTCTGGCCCGTGGAGGAGGGAGGCCCTGGGCCATCCCGAGGGCCCAGAGTCTCTGTGCAAGGCCTCGAGACCGGCCTGGCTCTGGGTCCTCCGTGCTTCGAGCCTCAATTTTCTTTCTGTTTTTTGGTCCCGGGGATGGAACCCAGGGGGGCGCTGAACCCCTGAGCCCCGTCCCCAGCCCTTTTTATTTTTTATTTAGAGACAGGGTCTCGCGGAATGGCTGAGGATCGCTCTCTCAACGGATTATTGAGGCTGGCCTCCAACGGGCGATCCTCCTGCCTCAGCCTCCGGAGCTGCTGGGATGACAGGTGTGCACCACTGCCCCCGGCCGGAGGTACAATTTCAATTCTTTTACTATGAATACCTATATCTGTACCTAGGAATGATCGGTCCCTGTTGTCCTGTGTTTTTTTGTCTTTAGGTATTTTCTGATTTTTGTGTTTTTTTTTTTTTTTTTTTTAAGAGAGAGTGAGAGAGGGGGGGACAGAGAGAGAGAGAGAGAATTTTAACATTTATTTATTTTTTTGCATTATTGGGGATTGGACCCAGGGCCTTGTCTGTGCCAGGCAACCGCTCTGTCACTGTTCACGCACTGAGGTTTGCGCTGGATGCATCCTTCTGGAACCTGCTGTGCTCCCTCCACTCATGTTCCTGAGGTTCTTTTGCGCTGGTAATGGGTAGGTCTGATCCATTCCTTTTCACGGCTGTATAGTACTCCCCTGTTTTATTCTCTCCGGCCCAGGTGATGGGACTTTTTTTGTTGTTGTTCCCATATTACAGACGGGGAAAAAAAATGGGCTCAGACAGATAAAGGAGCTGGTATAGGATCAGCCAGTGACCGACGGGCAGGAGGATGGCAAATGGGAGGTCCGCTTAGGCGACTTGGTGAAATCCTGTTTGCAAATAAAAAAACGTAGGGGACTGAAATCATCACCGGGACGTCTCAGTGGTGACAGAAAACCCCTGGTGGGTCCCCAAATGAAGCGCTTTCCATGCTCCTTTGTATTAAATCAGATAAGCAAAACGTGTGGCCGGGCCGGGCGGCCCACGCTGGCCATCCCAGCAGCTCTGGAGGCTGAGGCAGGAGGATGGCAAGTTGGAGGCCAGCCTCAGCGACAGAGGAACAGTCGCCACCGTGGGCAGCGGGTGTGGCCTCCGTCAGCCCCAGACAGGGAAGTGGCTGTGTGACCCTGGGCCCCGGGTTCCTCTCCTGATCTGGGGAGGCACTGCCCAGGCTGACGGAAGGTTCTAGAAGGTCCCTCAGGCACCCTGGAGCCGTGCTGGGCGGGCCCTGGGTGGGCCCCAGCCCTGGACAGGCAGCACGTCCCCCCCAGGCCAGGCTCCAAGGGAAGCCCCCCTCCCCCTCCTCCTGGGTGCCCCCCGGGGCCCGGCCTCCTCCTCCTCCTGCCTCCTCTCCCCCTCCCCCAGCCACCGTCCACCCTGTGCCTGGCGCAGGCCCCCCCTGCCCCCCGCCGGTGGCAGCTGCTGCCAGGGGAGCCTGCCCACCCCCATGGCGCCCGGGCACCAGGCACCAGCTGGGACATGACCCTGCAGGAAGAGCCGGTTTACGTCACTCTCCCCCAGAGAGGCTCAGAGCCGAGGCCGCGGCCGGGGGGGAGGCCGCTCAGGTGCAGCTTCCCCAGAGCCCAGGGCCCCCCATGGGTCTCCCCCCAGGACCCCCTCATGGTGGTTGGTCTTTTCCCAGAAGACCCCACGGTGACGAGGCCAGGCTGGACGGGGCTCCCCCTGGGTGGACAGGGCACAGGCGGTATCAAGGTCCTGGGGTCAGGGCTGGGGGGCACTTACCTGGCACCTGGGAGGCACTGGGTTCCGTTCTCAGCACCCCCCAGAAATAACCTCAGGGTCCAGGGACAACGGGAAAAATATACGAAACCCCCCAAGAAAGATCTTGGGATTAGCCGGGCGCACGGTGGCCCTCGCCTGTCTTCCCAGCGGCTGGGGAGGCCGAGGCTGGAGGATCGCGAGCGGGAGGCCAGCCTCTACCGCAAACTCAGCGAGGCCCTGAGCCGCTCAGGGAGACCCTGTGTCTCTAAATAAAATGCAAAATAGGGCTGGGGACGGGGCTCGGGGGTTGCACACCCCTGGGGTCAATCCCTGGTGTCCCCACCCCCCCAAAAAAACTGGGTGGGCAGGAGCTGGTGACATGAGGGGGCTGGGGCCTGAGACCTGGGGGAAGGCCCAGGCCGGGGACGGGAAATCTGCCCAGCGCTTACCGTCACGCGGATGAAGACGGCGGCGGCGCTGCCAGGGACGTGCCAGGGACCCAGGCAGGTCACAGCAGGTTCCCAGGGTGCGGCCGGTGGCCCCTGCCAGGGATCCCAGGGTGTCTGCACGTCCCTGGGATCCCACAGGGTCCCTGGGGTTGTCTTTCCTTCTGTGTGACACCCGGGTCCTCGTGCTGCTAGGCGAGTGCTCTGGGCTGTCCCCAGCCCTTCATTGTCATTATTATTATTAATTATTATTATTAATTATTATTATTATTAATTATTAATTATCATTATTATTTACTGAGGATCGAACCCAGGGACACCTCAGCACCCCTGAGCCCCTGTCCCCTACTTTACATTTTATTGAGAGACAGGGTCTCGCTGAGTGGCTCAGGGCCTCGCTAAGTGGCGGAGGCTGGCCTCCATCTTGTGATCCTCCTGCCTCAGCCTCCCGAGCCACGGGGATGACAGGCGTGGGGGCCACTGTGCCCGGCCACACGGACCCCTGTGGATGAGGTTCAGCTGAGCAGGCCCGGGAAGGCTTCTTGGGCATCTTTAGATCCATTTGGGAAAAAAATAATGTAACATGTAACAATTGGTGGGAGACGGAGGAGGCTGTTGCAGTGTGCAACCGTGTCCTCGGGACTCCGGGTCATGACTTGGGGGTTTGTGGGCTCCTGAGCTCCTGTCTTGGAATCGGGGTGCAGATCCAAATCCGGGGGGTTCCTGAATCCTCCCCGGGTGTCACCCCCCTCCACCCCACTCACAAGAACCCCTTCAAGGTAGGTACTTATTCCTGTTTACCAAAGAGGCCCAGAGAGGTCAAGTGACTGGTCCAAGGTCTCACAGCAAGTCCATGACAGAGCTGGGACCCAAGCTCAGGCCCCCCCTTGGGATTGTGGCCGTCTGCGTCACGGGTGTCTAGAGACCCCACGGTTCATCAGAGACGACGGGGACTTCCCTGACTGTCCCTCTCGTTACAGGGAAGATGAGTGGCCGCATGACAAAGGGCAGTCCTATCTGGGCATCGGGGTCCCTTGCAGCCACAGCCTCCTGTGTCCTTTCCTGAGGGACTCTTGGCCCTGAACTCTGGACTGTGTCCGGGAGGAACTGGGGTGACCTTGGCTGGGCTGGGTTTGCAGCCTCCCAGAGGCCAGGTGGGACCAGCCTCCCAAAACAGCCTCCAATACTCTGCCCACACCTGCCTCTCTCAGTCCCTGGACTGTGGCCAGGAGGCCGGGCGTGGCGTGTGAGGCCAGCAGTCACCCCCTCTTTACAAAGCACCTCCATTTCCTAGTGACCTTGAGAGTCGGCAGCTCAGAGGTTGCAGCTAGGAGTGGCTCAGAGAGGTCGCGATCCTTTCCTCAGGTTACACAGCATTGTCTTTCGAGACACAGCAGGCAGTGACCCTAGCGGGCAGATAGGTCCCTAGGAGCCTCCACGGACCCCTCCTCCTGCCTCAGCCTCCCGAGAAAGGTGGGGTCCCCACAGTGAGCGGCAAGAGGTCCCGGTGTAGATTCTGCTTGGAAACTCAGTGAACCCCCCCAGATGCCTCTGCAGAGAGAGACATGGCCCCCGCAGGGTGCAGGGCGAGAGGACATCAGGGAGTCGCTGTCTGGATGCTTTTCCTCGTTAGAAACAGCCCCGCGAGAGATGGGCGCTGAGAAAACAGGATACGAGGCACAGAGCAGTCAAGTAACTTCCCTAAAGACACACAGCGGGTAAGTGGCAGAGCCAAGATTCGAACCTGGGTCTTGGCTTCATGGACCACCTTCTCAATGGCTCCGCTGTCACGGTTAACGGTGTTGCCCAACTCGCTCTTCAGGCTGCCAGCTCGGGAGGGTCCACCACGGGTCTATAGAAGAGGAGACCGAGGGTCAGGGAGTGGAAATCCCGAGGCCACCACCCCAGGCCGCCCCGCCAGGCGGAGCCGGGAGTTGACCTTGGCTCTGTGACTTTCAAACTGGTCCCTCACCCTCTGTGCCTGTGGGGTGTCCCTTCTCTTCCTTTCAAATTTCGGTCTCCTCCTCTGTAAGTGGGGACCCCAGTATTCACATCCATAAGCCCCGTGGCCAGTCCGTCCCTGAGCCCCGTCCCCAGCCCCTTTTCATTTATTAATTTTATTTAGACACAGGATCTCGCTGAGTCGCTGAGGCCCTTCCCTGAAGGGTTGAGGCCGGGCCTCTACTGGCGATCCTCCTGCCTCAGCCTCCTGAACTGCTGGGACGACAGGCGCGGGCCAGGAACACATTTCGGATCCTAGATCTTTCCCGGCTCCACTCTCTCTGCCTCGGTTCTCTGGGTCTTTGGCCAAAACTGGCCGTCCCTGTCCTTCTGTCTGGTCACCCACCCCTTTTTCTCCAAAAGAGGCCACACTGTGGTCACGCCTCTGAGCCACACAACATGCTGTTCCCCTGCCTGAGATGCTTGTCCTCGCCGTGTCTGGGGAGACTCCCAGGACCCCTCGGAGGGTGGGGTGGGGTGGGGGGCGGTGGGGTGGGCGCCAGGCCACCAGGAGGAGGCGAGGGGACCGGGCAGGGCCCCCTCGTGCGGTCTCCCCAGGCTGCCAGGATTCTGGAATGTCCAGTCCCGTCCTGTCTCGTCTGTGGTTGGGAAAATATTCACCCGAAAATAAACACGCTCCTTCCTGATTAGGGGTGACGCCGGGAACCTTGTGACCCCAGACGAGGGGACCTCACCCTGAGAGTGGAGCCCCGGTCACATCCCTGGAGGCTACGTGTCCAGGAGGCCCACCTGGACCATGCTGTGTGACGCCCAATAAGTTGCTTGTCCTCTCTGTGCTACTAGGTCTGTTGCCTCTAGCTCAGGGGACAGAGAGGACCCTGGCAGAGGGGTCCCCGAACATGTCACCGGGAAGGACTCTCCTTCTTGATATTCTATTGAGGACAATTTTCTTTTCTTTTCCGTTGCTCAACTAGGGACTGAACCCAGGGGTCCCTGAGCCACATCCTGGTCTTTTTATTTTTGGGGGGCAGTGGGGGACACCAGGAATTGAACTTAGGGACACTCCTACATACCCCCCTGGGCGTGCTCAATTGGCTTCATGCTGGGATGACGCATGGAGCTCGTCAATGGGTCGTCTCAGGGCCTCAGGAGGCTGAGGCAGGAGGATCGCAAGTTGGAGGCCAGCCTCAACCACTTAGCGAAGCCCTAAGCCGCTCAGGGAGACCCTGTCTCTTTTTTGGTTACCCCCCCAAAAAAGAAACCAAGTTCTTGCCCTGTGCCCTCCAGGGGCCCTCCGAGGTGACCCTGGGCAGCAGGTGCCACTTAAGGAGATGTGCAGATTTTGGAGGCCAAGAGCCATCCAGAGCCTAACCCCGCGGGGCCCCGCACCGTGGAGTTCTGTCAGTTCTGAAACGGATTTTTCTGGGTGCTCCTGACAGACTCCCGGGCCCCGGGGTGAATGGGCCCTGGCCCCGTCCCCGCGGCCTGCCTGTTGGGACACACACCGCCGTTGATTGAATCACCCTCTTGGGCCTCCTTCCAGGTGGGCTGTGCCAGGAGCCTCCCTCTGGGTCTCATTAAGGCTCCTGTCAACACGTCCCTCTCCCCTCCCGCCAGCCCACAGGCCGCAGGAGGGGCCGGCGGTGGAGTTTTGTTTACTGTTTTCTTCCCACAGATTCCTCCCTTAATAACCTTGGAATCCGGAGGCTCCCCTGGCCGGCGGGGAGGAGGCTGGGGCCGGAGGCTGGGTGGGCCGCACCCGGGTGGGGGGACATGCATTCAAACAAGCTGGGTTTGGTGAGAAAGGGAAGGGGAACTCGGCTGCCTCCGGGGGTCTGGGTTTGGGGAGGGTGTGAAGTGGTTCTTTTGTGTCCTAAAGGGACCGTGGAGAAGTTTCCCCGTGGAGGTTGGCTGAGCCTGGATCCTGGTTCTCCTTCCTGTCCTCCTAACCTGGATGTAAACCTCCCGTGACCCTGGACTGACACTGGATTGACCCTGGACTGACCCTGAGTCTTCCTCCTCCGAGCCTAAGGCCTGACTAAGTCCAAGTACTGCTCACAGACTGATCCCTGATCCTCTTTTCCTTGGCTGAGCCCTGATCCTCATCCAAAGGGTTGAAGGTGGGGTGACAGGCTGAGCCCCGATCCCGATCCCAGACGGTGGGGAGCCCTGGCTCTTGCTCTGGCGACCGACTTACTCCTGATCCTGGTCTCAGAGCCTCGACCCCGACCATCCATCCGCTCCTCTGTCATCCCGCTTTCTGGGACGGATGGACTCATCCCCGATCCTTGGTACTCAGACCTGATTTTGGTCCCTGCGTGAGCCCAGCCGGGGATCCCAGGCCGGATCCCAGATCCAACCCTGATCCAGGTTGTCAGCGGTTCCTCACTGGATTCCCTGAGTGGGCCCCTGATCCCGGATCCAAACTGAGCCCTGGTCCCAGCCGGAGCCCGAAATCCAGCGCTGATCTGATCCCTAATCCCGGGTATTGCCTGACCCCCACGCCAAGTCCTCGGCGTCGAGTGGGGAGTGGGGGGTCGGTCATAAATCACCCCCTCCACCCACCGGGCACGGTGGCACGCGCCTCTCATCCCAGCGGCTGGGGAGGCTGAGGCAGGAGGATCTCGAGTTGGAGGCCGGCCTCAGCCACTGGGCGAGACCCGGTCTCTAAATAAGGTATCAGAAGAGGGCTGGGGACGGGCTCCGGGGCTGGGCGGATCCAAGTGAAGGGAGGTTCCCAGACCCGCCTGCGCTTGGCGGGGTGAGTGGATCCCTGAGCAGGTGTCCCTTCTTGTCCCCAGGCCAAGTGTGCCCAAGGTCTCGTCCCCACAGCGGGGTGGGGGAAACCGACGCTGGGAGGAGCAGAGGGGATTTCTGGGGACCGGCCGGGGCAGGAGGAAGGAAAAAGCCACCTCGGGGCTCCGGGGACAGCCAGCAGGGCATGGTGACGCCCAGGAGGGAGACGCCCCAGGGGACATGGGGCCCAGGGCCCAGGAGCCAGCCCCAAGGTGGCCCTGAATTCCAGGGGCCGGGGAATATGACCCCTTAGTGGCTCCCAGGGACCGGGATCAAGTTCCAACCTGACCCTGTCCACCCCCCTCCCCCGAAATGCTGCACCCCGAGCAGGTCCTGCCCTCCAATGGGCCTTGTCCCCTGCCACCCAAAGCCACCAGGCGCCCTGCCTCAGGGTTTTGCCCGGGGGGACCAGGCGCCGGGAATTCCACGGTCGGGGCTCCAGGTGCTTTCTCAAAGGCCATGATT